AATAGAATATAATATAATATAATACAATATAATATAATATAATATACTATAATATAATATAATATAATATCATATTTATATATATATATATGTAGAGAGAGATTGCGTGCGTGGGAGTTCGAGAACGTGCGTGCGCTATTATATCATTTTAGTCTATCATATGTCATATGTTACGCTGGCTTCTTGACAAAAATGGACTGCCGCCGGATGCGATGCACACAGCGCACCAGCCAGTCTTCAATGCTCCCGGCTCCTACAAAATGGCTCAGAAGTCGGATCCTCAGGTGCTTTGCAAACTCACAGGACGCATCAAAATGAACGACGAGCCACATGCATGGCTCCGATAGGTGAGCTGAGCTCTTTGCGGAGTGTTATGGCGCCACAAATTGTTGGCACTCAAAGCCTTGGTCGCTCCCGGCCCTCAATCGAATGGCTACTGAAGCCACACAGCCAGGCACAGCGACAATCACGACAGCGGCCTACCTTGCAACCTATGGGCTTGGGCTTGGGTAGTGTTTGTTTGGGACCAGAGGCGAGGGTTTCCTCACTGGCACTCCCGTCCTCGTCAGTAGCATTCTCCAGCTCGGAGAGCAACGACTTCATGCTGGCGGCGAGGGGCTGCACTTTGGAAATGTCATCCAGAGGCATAACGGCCAATCTACTTTTGGCCAAACTCAAGACGTAATTTGCCAAGTGCTGCAACATGAAGTTCCGAAATGCTGCCTGCATGGTCGCTACCTCCGTCTGGACCATCGACAACGGCTCGGAACTGGAAGCGCCCTCGAGCCAGCTTTTCAACACTGGCTGCAGATCACTCTTGTTGAAGGCCTTTGCAAGATGGCTGATGCTCTCTTTCAGCTGTGTGTCCTGGCCCTTTGCATCGTCATCCTTGAGTGTCACATCAACCTTGTCGATGAGATTCGCAAACTTCAGGCAGCAAGTCACGCCGACGCTGAAGGTAGCATCCGGCGGCTCCTCTCCAAGCACGTCCTTCACGGCTGCGGTGGCCGCTTCAACACTCTCCACATCTTTCTCGAGGTAGATAGCAGTGGCACTCTTCACCAAGTTCAATCGCTGCCTCAATGTATCTACATAACATTCATAGTCCTTGGAGGCGGCATGTTCTTGCAGCAACTCTTCAGCCTGCTTGGTCAAGGCTGTCAGCTGCTCCCGAACCTTCTTAAAGTCATCGTTGATCTTGACTCGGCAACGGTTTTTAGCAGCCAGCAGGTCGTAGCGCTTGGTTTTCTTGGATGTCTTTTCGTCACCCTTCTGCTTCTTTTCCTCCGAGACCAGAGACTGTTGCAGCAAAGCACTGCTCGACCCTTGAGCCTTGCTCGGGCTGACGATATTCATGTCAGCAAGCGAGGATTGGCTTTGGACCAGTGCCCCGGAATTCTTGAAGAAGTCATCACCCAGTTCAAAGCCAGATGTTGCGAGGCTGTCACCAATCTCTTTGAGGTCCGGGTCTTTGATCTTCTTGTCCTTGGACGCGAACACATGCATCCTGGAGTGTGTAGCGGCATGCTCACCCTTCACATACTCCTCGTCTGGCATTGGCAGCTTCAGCTGCCTGCCGGAACCACGGCGCTTGTGCTTGGGCACCGCTTTCAACGCTTTGTCCCAGTCGTCCTGGGCCTCACGCGCCGTCTTGGAGTGCTTCTCCGCGGCAACGGTCATCCACCTTTCATGTGTCATGTAGAGAAGCTGCACCCCATTGATGGTGGACTGAGACACACGAAGCTCCTCCAGCTCCTTGCTCAGGTCAAAATGGGAGTTCCTGCTGTGCCCAGAGCCTTTCGACTCGTCCGACTGTGCACGATAGTTCATGATGATGCGATGCAGAGGCCCACCACCTTTCTTCTTCACTTCCTGAAAGTACTTGTGGTCTTTTGCAACCTTTTCGTCTTTGGGGCTGGCCTTGAAGTTCCTGCTCTCACGCTTCGTCACGTTGTCCAAGGCTTTTTTGCACTCTTTACCAAACCGCTGCTTAGCTACTTTGGGGCTCTGCTCGCAACACTCACAGAGAGTGCTGCCAGTGCTGCGATTACCCTCATCAGCAGCCTCGGCAACAGAGGCATCGTCGGCCTGGGCGGCCTCATCGCCGTCACCTTCATGAACTTCGGCACTGAAGTCGAAGTTGTGAGACATCTTGAATCTTGCTGTCAATGGCCAATGACGATCCGGTGCTGTC